CTCCCTGCTCACCATCACATGCCCCCCCTCAGAAAAACCCCACCAGGTGGTCAGCTGTCGCCCAGCGGGAACGATTCTTCCTCAAGGATGCGGCGCCTGCTTGGAGCGCCGGGTGCCAAAGCCTCGTTGCTAGAAGCTGCCGGGCGGAGAGCAGAGCCCCCCGCCCTTTGAGACGCGGCCCCGGTGCCTGCAGACAGCAGCTCTGCAGGGGGGACCCTGGCTGATTGTGCTCTTGCTTTGCTGTTATGTCCCCTCCCCACCTCCCATTCGTACATCCCCTCTCCCCCTGGCACTGTCCGCTCCTGCCGTCAACTAGATCATGGGCTTTTGGGGGCCGGGGCTGCCTTTGTCGGAGGCATCTGCACATCGGCGAGCACCGGGGGCTCTGCTCCCTGTGGGATTGCAAGAAGCTGGTGAGGGCAAGCTGAGCGTTGCAGGTTTGCCCACCGAGTAGGAGGATGTTCAGGAAGGGAGAAGGGGCTTGTTAGCTGAGTTGAGACCCTGAAAATCTCCCCAAGAGACGGGCAAACCTGGAGCCTGCAAGGCGGGTCTGTGGGCACTGAGAAGCACCAGGCACTTTGTCCAGGGGTTAGGCTTAGGAAGTGCTGGGGGCCTGTTAGTCCTGCTGGCAGGCTGGCTCGGAATAAAACCTCTTTGAACCCGGGGTCTTGGGGCGAAGCCAAGCCTGGCGCGAATGGGCACCGCTCGGCTGCTCCCAACTTGAATTTGACCGGTCCCGTCTAGGTCTGTCGCTCTCAACCTGTTCCACATTGTGACTCCAGTACCCCCCGGCCCGGTCTAGATTGCCCCTCTGCGCTGGGTAATCGCCCGGGTGCCCTTAGGTCCGTTGGAGGTTATCAGGGACTCTATACAGCTACGCGCAGCTCTGCTTCAGACTAACCCGGCTCCCCCTCGGAGGCGCTAGACAGCCAGGGAGCAGAGCATCCGCCCCAGGCAGGGACACGTGGGCGGGTTTAGTTGCTGTGCAGTTGTTCCCAGTAACCCCCGGTGTTGCCCCAGTAACCCCCGGTGTTGCCTTGCAGGTAGAAGAAATGTACTCCACGGTGTGCAAAGCTGGCAAGGGGAAGAAACACCAAAGCTCTGCCCTGTCTCCTGTGGGAAGGGAGGCTGGGGAGACGTGCCAAGGCGAGCCGGGGAGGCCAGCTGCCCAGCAGGGCGAAGTCAGGGCAGGGTATCCGCCCACGCCGGGCCGGGGCTCACTCGCGGAGCCCTGCTATGAGTCTGTCGGCGATGGCTCCTGCCCGGACCCCAGCAGGCGCTTGGCCCCGGAGCCGGCCTATGAGGCAGTAGACGTCAACTGGAGAAAGCCCCGGAGAAGAGACAAGTCCACCAAGAGCTGCCCCGTTGAGAACTTGTATGAAAGCATCAGCGACATGTGGGCAGGGGACGCCGGGCACACGGCCACCCTGATAGCGCCCAATGGGCTGGAGATGCACCTGACAGAGTTATAGCCCCCTGTGGGTAGGCGCCGCCCCGAGACCGCGGGCTGTCTCCGCGCTCCGCCCAGAGCCTGCGGTGCCCCGACAGTAAATACTAAAACGGCCCCCCCACTCCAACCGTCCTGCCTCCATCTCGTGCCAGCCTGTCGCTTCCCCTGCGGGCTGGGTCCCCTCTCGCTTCTTCTGCAGAACTGCCTCTGAAGCCGCTGGGGCTGAGCCAACTCCCTGGCTTGGAGGGACCTCCGGCGACCTGAGAACGACAGGCGTGAGAACTGACCGGTTCTCACAGGTGCCATCTGGGGGTTGGCATGGCTTGGGGTGGAGCCCATGTGTGGGCCACACACTGAGGTAAGGGAGTGGGCAGCCGTCAGGAGGAACGGCCCTGGGGTATCGTACCCCGTGTTTATTTGTGTCTCACTGCAGGGATGGAGAGAACCCCGCCTGTGTCTGGGTTTATTGCCTGGCAACGCCCACCGCGGGGAAGGGCAGTGAAGGCTTGTTCCCGTTGAGACAGGGAGTGTGTCTGCGGAGCTCTGATTCTCCGCCTGGCCTACCCCGGGCTATCCCGGCTCAGCGCTGCTGAGTGCTTGATGGGGCAACACAGGGCAGAAGTTGGCCAGATTTCTGAGGCAGGCTCTGGCGGGGCAGGAGGGGGCTGGAAATGGGGGCAGTGCAGTGGGAGGATGGCGCACGCCCTTTGGGGCGTGGCGGGTAGGGTAGGTGGGGAGCTAGGGAGCCTGTACTCAGTGCAGGCCCTGGGGGGCAAGGGAGGAGGCTGAATCTAAGCCATTTGTTCATCTCCTCCATCCTGGGGCTCTCAGCCCCCAGCAAAACCACAACTGCCACGAACAGTCCTCTAAGTCCTGTTACGCCGCCCAGGGCCTGCCGCTCTGGCCACAGCCCCTGCTGCTACCAGCTTTCCCTGGGGGTGGGAGGGGCTTAGAACAAGCTATTCCCGTTTAGGTTGGACGTTAAAAACTTCCAACCTATCAGGGAGGTGAAACACTGGAATACATTGCCCCAGGGAGGCTGAGTCTCTCCATCACTGGAGATATTGAAGAGCACGTTAGACAGACGCCTGTCAGGGATGATCTAGATGGTGCCCGGTCCTGCCGACAGGGTAGGGGACTGCACTTGACCTCTCAAGGTCCCTTCCAGTTCTAGTGTTCTGTGATTCTACACAGCTCCGGGGTTTTCCAGTGTCAGGGGAGTTTCCAGGCACTCAGCTGGGGGCAGCTTGTTCTGCAGAAGCCTTTCAGGCCAGACAGGCAGAGGCTTGAGTGCCTGGCCCATAACACCCATGTGCTAACGGTGGTTACACTGAGTGACAGGTGCTTATGTAACCCACACACTTAGGCTGCGTCTAGACTGGCCAGTTTTTCCGGAAAAGCAGCTGCTTGAATTTCCGCAAGAACACTGCCGATCTCATGTAAGAAATCAGTGCTTCTTGCGGGAATACTATGCTGCTCTCATTCGGGCAAAAGTCCTTTTGTGCAAAAGGCCCAGTGTAGACAGCTCAGATTTGTTTTGCGCAAAAAAGCCCCGATGGCGAAAATGGCGATCGAGGCTTTTTTGCAGAAAAGCGCGTCTAGATTGGCCATGGATGCTTCTCCACAAAAAGTGCTTTTGCGGAAAAGCATCCGTGCCAATCTAGACGCTCTTTTCCACAAATGCTTTTAACAGAAAACTTTTCCGTTAAAAGCATTTGCGGAAAATCATGCCAGTCTAGACATAGCCCTAGGCTATGTCTACACTCGCGGCTTCTTGCGTGAGTAATATGCAAATGAGGCAAAGCGTGGAATATCGCTGAGCCTCATCTGCATACCTAATGAGCCACCATTTTTTTTCAGAAGAGGCTCTTGTGCAAGAAGGAGCATCTACACTGGCCCTTCTTGTGCAAGAAAAACCCTCTTGCGCAACGCCATTACACCTATTACTTTTCAGGAAGAACGGCATTGTGCAAGAGGGTTTTTCTTGCGCAAGAAGGGGCAGTGTAGACACTCCTTCTTGCGCGAAGGGCCAGTGTAGATGCTCCTTCTTGCACAAGAGCCTCTTCTGAAAAAAATGGTGGCTCATTAGGTATGCAAATGAGACTCGGCGATATTCCACGCTTAGCCTCATTTGCATATTACTCATGCAAGAAGCCGCGAGTGTAGATATAGCCCTAGTGTGGTTCACTGTCCCATGCAGTGGCACCTAGACCACAGCAAGCAACAGCTAAGAACAAGAGACTGCCCCAGCGTGGGCTGAGCGCCAGCTGGCTTCATAGCTCAAGCTGTCGCGGCTCCTATACTAAGGTCCCTAGGTTCAAATCTACCCGGTTGTGGTTACACTTGGAATATGGAAGAGTCCAGAGTTCTAGACACTGCTTGTTAAGCACAAGAATTTCCCCATGAGGGCCAACGCCTGTCCTATCTGGCGCTAGAAATAGCCCATCCCCAAGTAACAGATCTATCAACACAAGGAACACAGTGCCAGACACTGGTGATTGGTGAGAGCAGGGCTTGCAGCTCAAGAACCGGCTGGAGGTTGGGGGTTTTTCCTGACACATTGTAACAAACAAACCGAATCTGCTCACCTCACACGTGCCTGGTGGGCTGCGGGGTTGAAATAAACAGCTGCGTTTCCTGTGTGCCAGCATGTCTGCCTTCCCCAACGTGCTCGGAAGGACAGGTGCTTCTGTGGTGCCTGGACATGGTGTGGTTTGCCAAGGAGCGGTTCCTCTAGCTGGGCTCTGGCTTGTCACTAAGGGGACAGGCAGTGGGAATGGATCTGCATGGGCCGGCTGCCCACCTCCCCTCTCCTGCTGCGCACGCATTTGCTTGAGGGTCTGAAAAGCCCTGAGGTGCATTGTGGGATGCTGGAGGTGCAACCCCCTCGGCCAGCTTTTGTAAATCCTACTTATTCCCAAACAGCAGAAGCCCTCCACCTCCCCTGCCTTCGGGGCTCTGGGGGCCCACGTGGGCGGAGTCACAGTTTGATGGTGACAGCACACACGCTGCATTCCTCAGCAGGGACAACTTGCTTGGCCTTTCAGTGTCTCTCTCCACCATAGCATCCCAGGGCTGCAAGAGCCCTCCGGAGTCATCTAGTCCAGCCCTCTGCCCAAATCAGGATCAACCCCAGCTCAGTCATCCCAGCCAGGGCTTTGTCAGGCTGGGCCTTAAACATCTAGGGATGGAGATTCCACCCCCTCCCTAGGGAGCCCATCCCAGCGCTTCCCCACCCTCCTAGGGAAATAATTTTTCTAATATCCACCTTAGACCTCCCCTGCTGCAACTTGAGCCCATTGCTCCTTGTTCTGCCACCTGCCACCACTGAGAACAGCCTCTCTCCAGCCTCTTTGGAACCTCCCTTCAGGTAGTGAAAGGCTGCTATCGAATCCCCCCTCACTCTTCTGCAGACCAAATAAATCCAAATCCCTCTGTCTCTCCTCGTAGGCCAAAGGAGGAAACACCAGGAAGGAGAAAGCTGGTTTGTGGCTCGCAGCTGCCTGCAGGGAGATGTTTCAGGGGCTGTGCAAACTTGCAAGGCCGTTCAGTAGCTTAGGCTGCGTGCTTTGACCTGGACTAAGCGCAGGAAACACCTGCCTTTCAGCTACCCAGATGCTCCGATCTGTGGACCTAATTTGCAGGTGCCAACGACTGTGGTGTACAACTGGAATCAAGATGCACACATATGCCCCAGGGTCCTAAGAGGTGTTTTCTACTCTCATTTCTCCTTGCCGGCAGGGGAGGCATCTACGGGGTGGACACACGTGTGGTGTTAACATAGCGCAGCAAATGTTTCCCCTTCGAACATTCTGGGGAATATGCAAATAGAGTAATATTGGATTGTGGGTTAGTGCATCCCTGGGGCATTGTGTTACTATGGTGGAGCCAACTTCATTCCAATTGGTTCTGATTGACGGTCCCATTCAGTTTAACTAACAGTTACACGGCTGGCTAGCTGCAAGTCTTTGCCACTGCTCAAATTGCGGCGACCTTTAACAGCGCCCGGGGTGCCCTGGAAACGGACAAGGCGGTATCCTGACGCGAGAGTCACTCAGCACAAGGCACCTAGCGACGGGCGACCTTTAACCACGGTATTAACACCTCGACTTGTAAATGACACACGCATTAGGCTGAGTATTCTTCCAGCTTCCCAGCTCCAGCAGTGGGACTAGACTCAGTGCAGAGGCAGAGCCGGCATTTCAGATGGTGGAAATGACTCTCAACCGGTCAGTGGTTTTCACCCTCCACTGGCTGGCACGTGAATCCCCAAAGCCTTCCAAGCAGCAAAGAGTTAACGGGCCATTCGTCACATGAGTAAGCTGGTAGTTATAATACTGGCACACGCTGCCTGTTACTGCGTTGAACTTAAAAGCAGGAGAGGTGGGATACATTCTTGTCTCTGGGTTTCCTGGGGGGGCCGTGGGGCAACCCCTCCTCCTCAGGGCCCAGTCTGTAAAAGCAGGGCTACTAATCTTCCTTATCTCTCATGCTGTGGCTTGGTCTCTCTTAGCTAGGTACATTGTAAACTCTCTGGGGCAAAGATTCTCTCTCATTAATAGAGCGTGCAGCACCTAGCACCAGGGGGCCCTGACCCTGGGTACAGCCCCCCCCATCCTCTTATTACATGTTTTAGAAATGTGCATCCGTCTGTCTGTCCGTCTGCGACTCCGTTTGTTCAAGAGCTCCTCCTAAATGGTCAGAGCTAGGGCCACCAAATATGGGATGAAGGAGGCCCAACCTCATATCATAACTTAAAGCAATGTAACGAGTTGGTTGTGCCAGGAGAACGTGATGTGCCTGAAATGGGATTGTGTCTCATAAAACCAAACAGAAGAGAGAGAATCACCAAAGCAAGTACAATCCTCATAATTGACATAAGTGAGCAAATGTTGAAAGAGACTGCACCAAGATGAGTCAGGAAAAGAGGATGAACCTGGAATACGATTGCTTCTCAATAAACCTTACAGAAAAAAAGATAAAATGGAGAAATGTGGAGGAGTGCTCTGGTTTGGCACTACCAGGAAACACTGGGTAAATCCACTAGTAATAAATAATAATAACCTATCTGAATAGCATAGGCCAGAGAATCTCCCCCTTGTCCTGCTTTGAGCCCAATCATTTATGTTTGACTAAATATTTTCCAGAAAGATGTCTAGTTTGAATGTGAAGACCTCAAGAGATAGAGAATCCACCACCTCCAGTGGGAGATTGTTCCATTGTTTAATCCCATGCTCTCTTAAAACTGTGTGTTTCTCACTTGAATGTGTCTGGCTTTTAATTCCCAGCCATTGGTCCTTGTCCTGCCTCTCTGCTAAACAGATTGCATTAATACCCGAGCTTTTCTCAATAAAGTTTGGATCTGTGCATTTTCTGCCAGCTTCAGTCACTCTTGAGCATGTGCCAGTGGCATTTGAATAGAACTTTAGATGGCTCCAGAGCTGTCAAGTGCACACAGGTCACTAGTCCAGGTGGGAACTGACTAATCATCTGCTGCAAGAGTAACGGCCCTGGAAGCTAGTGGATCTTGCCTCCTTTAAATAAAGGGCATGTGTTTTGATTAGCTTGCTCACCTGGGCTCTGGGCTTTCGATTTCTTACAGTAGGAAGTCAGTGCTTTTGCGGAAATTCAAGCGGCCAGTGTAGACAGCTGGCAAGTTTTTCTGGAAAACAGCTGATTTTCTGGAAAAACTGGCCAGTCTAGACACAGCTGGACTGTTAACCGATAAGCTATCAGTTAACTGGTTAGCGGCCATTCGACTGACATCCCTAGTATGAAGCCTCCTCTTCTCCTAACTTAAAGCAAGGTCTGGGTTTGGTTGTGCCAGGACAACCAGAAGCCTCAGGAAAAGGACTGGTTTCCACTGGTTTCCATAACATGCCAGGGGAGGGGCTGGTGTTTGGAAGGACGCGATAGGAGAGTGTCCACTGGGGGCAGCGAGCGGCAGAGGGAGTTCTCTTGTAGTGTGTCCACTGGGGGCAGCCACAGCACCAAGGGAGTGACCAGCAGGGCTGGAGCTCTGCCATCTTACCTGCCAGCAAACCAAGTAAGTAGCCCCCTGCCCCTCTGCTCCAAACCCTTCCCCCCCTCCCAGTCCTTGGCTGCAGTGCTGAAAGTGGGGGGTGGGGGGAAGGCCCCTTGCGGCTGGGGGAGAAAAAAGGGCCCATGCTGAATGGGACCCCCCGCCCTGAGCCCTTCCTCACCTCCGCAACCTCACTCTCGTACACACCCCCATCCCAGCCTCCTGCACTCCCCCTCCCACACGCACATCCACAAGGGCTTGTCCGGACTCCTGCACCTCCCACACCACCAGTCTTCTGCCCCGAAGGACCTGGGCAGTGCTGAGGAAGTCTGCTAGTGCCCAAATACATCTCTTGGTCTCTGAAGCTGTCTCTACACTACAAGGGT